ATCAATAAAGTACTTATAAAGTGCGTTATTAAAACAACTGGACTAGGCGTCTCCTTTTTTTCTTTATTTAAGAGTCCTGCTTTAGTCTAAGAATGGGGTCTTGCTAATCATGTCCTTTATTAGCAAAGTTTAACATAGCTCTTGGGACAGATACAAGAACACTTGCATTTGGCGCAAAATAATTAATGATTATTCCTAAATCAAGCTAATCATTTAGTTTCACATAAAAATAAAGTCAAATTTTACTAAATCTCTATAATACATTTTAGAAGACGTTAGACTATACATGGGAGATGTGCAATAATATCAACTGATTACCATAATAATGTCTAACACAGAAGTACATACCTAGCGAATAAAGGCCGTCAGGTTAGTAAACATTCAGAGACATGCAGTTAGGCAGTCAGTAAACTGAAGTACACTTATACTCTTGAAAAAGAAAAACCGTACACATACAAGTAAAATCGAATTTTTCTGCTTTTTTGCTTTCTTGGGTTATTCAGAAAACCGTATATAGTTGTAGCAGCAACAAAAAAAGAAAGAAGAAAAAAAAAGATAATAATAATAAAAAAGGAAAGAAGAAGAAACGATCTCAAGACATACAAACGCATACACCATAAATCACCCCAAGTTTATATACTGTACAGCATGGAGCAAAGGCATGAACGAATATTGAGGATGAAACGAAAAAAAAAGAAAATTGACATAAACGTGGAGGCATCTTTATGGTAGAAATCTGAAAGCAGTATACATGCCGTGTATAAACTAAGCTCTGAAAGCATTCCTTACCCAAACACACAGTAAACGGTAATAAATCAATATTCCCAATTTTAAATTGGCTGCAAGCAAGCATTGCAAACTACTAAGCCAATATTTTACTGATTGTGTACAGCCCTGGTGTATGTATGGACATAATGTCAAGAAACACCTAAGAATAACTACAACGGGTAGGATTTGTCTTATTCTTACCTCACCGAGAAATGTATAAGTTTCATTATTACTTATGTGACGGCAGTAACAACTTACCTTTCAGGCGCTAAAAATTAAATAAAATTCATTACTAACAGCAACTGCGCCCAAAAATTTTTGATTAGATAATAAAATATTTTCAACTGATGCAAAACATTTTTAAGTCCATGTGAAACGTCCACCTTAAATTAGAATTTTTGTTCATCTAAGTTAAACTTTTAAAACTAAAATATGAAAATTGACCTAAAAAATCTAGTGCGTTGAAAGGGTTCTAGTTTATAATCTCAATTCTAATGAAAGTGTAGTTTTGTAAGAAATTTGGTCTACGCCACTTGTTCGTGGTACACAACTGGTTTGCAATTTATTTTTTTAAAACTAAAACTACGAAAAGGAGAATAAGCTAAGAAGTGAAATGTTTACTGGCAACCAATTGCAACGTCGTGTAATCGGGTACGCGGTCCACGTCTCGAAGCGGCGTCGTGCATCATTGCATCGCAACAATTAATTTTTAGATTGTAACATCTCAATTTAATACATTGGGCTGAGAAATCGGTATACATGACGGGATAACTACATACAATTGTAACCAAAACTTTTCCCAGTTTTTTTGCTGGTTATTAGCGGCTTAACGCTGTCGTTTGAGTCAAATTTCATGGCATCACTTTTCGTGAGGTTAACGATAGATACGCGTTTGCTTATTTTTAACTAAAAAAAGAGTTTTTCAATTCGGCTTTATGACTTCAATCAAATTAAAGTGATGTCCATGCAGAAAATTGTCCAAGAAATATTCAAAAATATATTATAGTTTTTTCATTCATTGCTATCTCGAATTGGTTCAGCTTTTTAGATATGCTAAGCTGTGGATACATTCTACGGCTTATTATTCCATGTCAACGGGGAATAAAGTTTAAGCCCACGTTCAAGTCCATATGCCGCGTCCTATATATCAATTGCAGGATGCTAAATATTTAATTTAAGATGTCTTTAAGTTCGGTCTCAGCTAAATATAACTTTTCGCTTCTTTTACTCCTCTTCCGTTATACCATATATTCTTAGAGTATACAAGAAAATTGCAAAATGTTAGTGCTGTTCTAGGAAGAAGGGTTCGAATTGAGATTTCCTAACGTTTATTTTTTCGAAACATTATGTTTTCTCCGTGCAGAAACTCAAGGGAATATGCTGCACTATTAAAATGCACGCTAGGCTTACAATGAAATCCCTCTTTAGAGCAGGAGAAAAACATGCAAGAAAAAATTGTGCAAGCATACAAAGTATGCCCGGGAAAGAACGTAACGTAAACGAAATGGAAATCGCTGACACGACAAACACCAGCACCAAAGAGGTTTATTATAGAAAATAACTGTACTTACTTGTACACAGACGTGTAGGTCTATATATGAGATCGTGTTAGAGTTTGTTAAGAGGGCAAATATAGAGAGAATTTTTTAAACGAAAAAATAAATAAATACATAACATAAAATAATAGTAATAAGAAAGTAAAAGATTCTGTTGTTGTACATGTTAACTTATCACGTGCGCGGGGAATTTAAGTTTTATTCTTATTTACTTACTTTTTTTCTTCTCCACGAGAACTACAAAGGAATAAAAAAAAAAACGGAGGAAACATGGCGAAGTCACTGTAACAACAAACAAGTGTACATGTGTCACGGTTAAACGGGTTTCCTTCTCTTGTCTGATTATAACAGGCAAAGAAGCCAGCAAGCAATTTTATTAAAATAGGGTACGAGCTTGCTATCAGCAAAAGCCGTCATCGGCATCTATAATGCAGTCAATTTATGTATACAACACCATCGAAATTGCATTGCATTCTCATACAAATGCGCACACATATAAATGTATAAAGCTAATGGAATCCTTATGGCATAAAGACTCACGAGGCGAAGCAACAAAATTGTTTACGAAAATGCCATCAATGTTGATTTGATTTAAAAATCAGTTTAAAAAGCAAATACTAAAGTATTTATGGAATGAAGTTAACAAAACATGGAAAAAAATACCAATAGAAAAGAAAACTGCATAAGGAAGGACAAAGCATAATCAAAATAAATTGTCAAACTTGAAAAAAGCTAAATAATGTTTAAATAAATATTCACGCCTAATAAGTACGCTTTAAACGCGAAATTTAACGAACTTCAACGCTACTGTCACATAAGCTTGAACATAAGCCGAGATCGATTGGATGCATATGTGAGAAGCGAATAAAATTATGTAGCATATTGCAACTCAAGTTGCAGCTGCAGTTTCAGTCCCTATTTTGCGTATGTTTCCAAATTTGAAAATTCCACCATAAACAGGAAAACGCAAAGACAAATTATCTCGAAATATTATGCCTTTCTAAAGCCGTACCTGCGAAAGTATAGGTAAAATAATATTGGGAATAATAAACCTTTTTCATCCTTTACCTATGCAAGTATTTCATCAGTTTTCACAGATAGATTGCAGACATTATTAAGACTTCTGCTTATTGCATCCATTGCTCTAAGAATTACTTATAAATTCCACGCTGATGAGGTGAACATCTAGGAATAATTATTATATTTCCACATTTGTTGACTCTCCATTCGCATCTAAAAGAATGGAGGTGTTGTCTTGAGATCAAAAAAAAAATTGCAATTCAATATTGTCCATTGCAAGCTACAGTTCCATATTTCATCAGTCCAGATTTCATCATTCAAGCAACACATACATGGCTGGTAACGTTCGGTGATTCTTCGGCGAAGAACTCCAACGCTTAAAAAAAGAGGTATGCGCTGTAGTACTGCCGTATAGTGTACATATATAGAGCAATAAATTACGCTGTTACGTAAGGCTGACTCGTACTTTTATTTTCATAAAGGAGTCACAGTTGGCAAATGCTTACAGATAAAATATTCACCCAGAAAAAGTGGTAGAGACTAACACATATACTTGGTATCTTTCGCCTTGATGTGCTCTATTGGGTTTTGTAAAATATCATCGTTGATGGTCGGCGACCTTCTTCATACTATAGCAATCAATTTTCGAAGTAATTAACCCGCATGTTCTAAAGTAATTATTATCTTTTTTTTTTCTCGGAGGAAAGAGTCCAAAAAGTTGGTTAGGATAGATGTTATATAACGAAATTTTGGGGATCACAATAGACTCCTCGGATTATGATAAACATTGTCCAAATATCGTACGAATACTACCTTTTATATAAATAAAATTGATTTTTTTGCCGAATAAACCTTTCTGTTTATTTGTCTGACTCTCAACATTGCCTTGAAAAACGTATTTAGAAAATACACAAACAAGGTCAAATTTTGTTTCTAATTAACACTTTGAGCCCATAATTGTGGTTTTCCCACACCAACTTGGCTGAATCGATTTCGTATTGAAGATCTTTAAGGAAACTTTATGGCATTTCCGACGTTCATGACGAGTGTTTGTATACGATGTATGCCGTTAAATATTATTACGTCGATTGACTGATCAGCATCAAGTGATTTTAGGAAATATGTATATCACGTTTCAAAACAATGGGTTGTATGTGTGATTTGCAGTTCTTTATCGGTTTTGCGCCTAGTCTAACAGGAGCCATTGTCTCTGTTTTACAGCGAAGCATTAGCTTGGTCTGAAAAACGCTTATATAAATTTTGACATGAATAAGTGCTACGAAATTTTCTATGGGGATAATTTATAATGGTTTCGTTGTTCTTCTTGGACGATCCTACGATGTGTTGACTGATATTGTGCATTTTCACAATCGATACAATAGTGCAAGCATGAACTCTCATCTCTCTATCCACAATTTTCAAATCTGTTCAATCTAAATGCGGAAAAGGCACGAAGTTTTGGAACAGTGTAAAATTTAGCCGGAATCTTGCTTTGTTCAAGCATACATATTCTTTACGGTATCGCTTGTAAGTGTAGTTAGGTTTTACAAGTAAAATCGGGAAGCAAGAATGTGCCCATTTCTCATTTAGGACTATACAAATTGAACGCCAGAGTTTACTGTCCAGAAAAATATTTGCGTTTTATTTGTTGTAAATTACAAAATAAATTTGTCGAGGTTTGTTTGGCATAGTTCTGATTTAACTCTGTTACAAATGTTTATATATGTATATATATTTTTCTTTTGTTTTCTTTTTTTTTGAATTCAGAAGGCTAATCCTACATTTCCTCCAATTCCGGTGAGCTCCGTAAATCCGGCACTTGCAACGTTCCGTTAATATATATTAAGTCTGTGAAAATGAATTTACTTTCTTTCAAACAAGTTTGAACCTTCTTTATTATTTTTGGATAGTGTCGATTAAGGCAACAACCACAGCAAGTTACTGCTATATTAGACGAACCTTGAACGATGTGATGATCATCGTAATAAGTCCAATATATTTTGTTATACCCAAATATTAGCAAAACCTTGTCAAAACTGTAGCCATATGTGGTTAGCAGGGCGACGTTGTTCACTGGAATGATCCATATAGTGTAGTTAACCAAAGCATTACATAAATGACGATCCTTGTCGCGTTTCAGAACACTGAGAGCCTGAAGGAATAAATTGAAAATCCTCAGTAGAGAAAGGACTTAAGTTACTAAAAAATTGATTTTTTATAAAACTCACCCAGTCTTTTTTATCAGGAATGTGCTCGGACGGAGTTTGGCAGTTGCGTATGCAGGTGGCTAATTTGTTTTTGGCGCATCTTGAAAAACAAATAAAATATACGGAACGAAAAATATTTAAATAATTTGAAAAATCTTTAGCTGAAAATAAAAAATAATTCTGAAACCTTCAAGCAGGGAAGGACTTTGATTGTGAACAACTATGATTTCACTTACATGTACTCATATTTTAGTTGCAATATAATATACTCAAATTTTTGCCTTTGAGACATTTCGCTGATTGCTTCTTCTTCGCTTAGCTTAGTTTTAATTTACACACTCTTTTCCTTCTTATACTTCCATATACCGTTTATAGACTCTTTACGATGCTCTTTCCTTTATTCTTAACCTGTAAGCAAATATGTCGATCGCTCTTTTTAAACAGAGTGATACAATAAATTTCTTCTTAAACAGTGCAAATATTCCACTATTTAGTCATGATAGTCTCTATACCTTTTTATCTTTAAAGATTTCAATAAGAAATGTTAAAAATTTTGCTATCAGGACAATCTCGGATTATCCATTTGAATAATTGAATTTATTCAATTTTACGGATTCGTTTAGTGGCATTGACATTGCAAATGTGTCTACAAACCGATTTTATGAGGATTGGATGTAGTGCCGTGGGAATAAAAAGCATTCGTTTGCTATCTTAATTTTCAAAACTGTTAAAGCAATAGAGCTAGTACGAACGATATACGAGAAGCGTAAGATTTTGCGTTTATTTTGGTCTATACTGTGGAATAATGCAAATCGTAGGGCTGTACTTTGCCATCAGTCGCCAAAGATAGATATAATATATTAAGTATTCTTTAGTTTACTCTGCTTACAAGTTGCAGAGTAAGTCATTCATTTGCTTCTAATGCCGCTACGTTGAGTTAAAGGGTTTGACAACAAGGCGTTATTAGTTCAATATGCGAAATTTTTAGATTTCAAGGCTTTAGAATACTTTTACATTCGATGTCTAATAAATGCATTAGTGTTCAAAAAAACATTCTCAAAGACATATTTAAACATGTTGTACGAACAAATGATGTACAATACAATGATGTACACTAAACAGAAATAGAAATCAGTAAAGTACCTTTTTACATCTTTGTTATCCAATATTTCGAGAGGTTTATAAAAAATCGCCATAAGCCACATAAAGCTATATGGTCGGGCAGCTATATATCTTCTTTGACGATATCGACATTTTGCGAGATAACAAACAACACAGAAATTATTTTAGCCTTTGACTGAATCTTGCGGTATGTAACAGATACATATGGGATTAGAGTTAAATTTGAGTTTTTCATCGATTTCCAGTGATTAGCAACTATAGAGTCACTCGGACAGGCAGCATTGACTATATACAGAAAAAGCTGATTTTAGTTGATTCGCTAACGTAAACATAAGCCGACCAGTTTTTCCTTGTTTTTTCAATTATACTTTATTTAAAAGTAAGACGGACAATTCATTTGAGAATTGTAGTTCCATCTGTCTATTCCGGAACATGTATTATGTGATAATAGTGGTAAAGATGAGTAAAACTATCAATCTTTTCAGATATTTGTTGCGAAAAGCAAAGTTTTATTTTTTATTTTATTTTGTTCGTTTATTTGAAACTCAGTTAAATTAAATTAAAAGCCTTCTGACTCTTGGAAGTAAATAATATTAATTATTATTAAAACTAATGCAAAGTATATAAAAAGAGAAGTAAAGACAAAAAAAAATTCCTTTATAAATAAATAAAAAAGAAAAAAAAAGCATGAACAGATCTAGCACATCCACAACCAGATCAAAGTTGCAAATGAACACCGTAGCCGTTGCAAAGACGCAAAAGCTTGGCTGCCGATAATAGTAAACAACCCCAGTTAATTTTCGAATCATGGCAAAGTGTTAAGATTGGAAGTTAGTTTAAATACGACATTAGCAAACCGCGGATTAAGGATTGTCGTTTTGATAGAATTTAAAGAACCCGGCATTGAGATTAAGTGATAGATATCATTTAGTTTTCTGCAAACAACTCTGAACGGTTTTAATAGGTCATAATTACATTTATATTGATCAAGCTTAATGAAAATAAAGCACCTAGAGAAGCGATGAGGAATACTGAAGCTTATCTCACCAAGTAGTATGGGCCAATTGAGAGTACAATTAATTAACTTAATTAAGAAGTAAACACCAAGAATAAATCTATAGTTTCTCAAGGGATGGTAAGTCTAACAGAAGTAACCTATTTTCATAAGGAGGCAGGGAGACAAGGATGGCCCAAACCGAATTCCTAAGCGCAAACAACTTTTGAAGGGACTCAATTGAATTTAAATAACATCTGTAGGAAGGAGACCACATAACAGGGGTGTACTTAATTGTTGGTCTAATTAAGCACAAGTATAGCCTTTTTGCAATTCAAGGATTATTAAGCTCATTATTACACATTTTCATAAATAGTGGGGGTAGAAGAGGACTGAACGTGCGAAGAAGTCATGTTTCAAACTTCGTGAATTTGAACCTTTCTAACATATCTATTTCAGTTCTCTTAGGTTTAAAAAATTTGCAGCTAAAAGCAATGCTGCAAATATCGGTAAGACTAGCAGGCGCATGAAAAGCACATATATGCTAGAGTTACATAAAGTCCCAGACGTAGGTGCAAATCTGCACAGAAAAGTATTTTCCTTTAATGGTGTGATAATGAGTGCTTTTTAATGTAAATATTTTGCATATGGCGATGAAATTTCCGTATTACAATGCCGTTGAGCACTTTCTATCTGTCGGGATGACTGCTACTAGCAACGTTATAGTGTCAAAAATTTAGTTTGTTCGCTAAAGTTCGGCCTGGATACATTTCTTTTCATTGCGCATTAAACTTTCAAAGCCCTTTTGCTCCATAAAAATGTATATGTGCAAAATTTTCCTGATGATTATTACCAAAATTTTGGTGCGTCGTAGCTACAGCACATATGTCCGCATGCAATGAAATTAGTGATATGAGACGATTGCACACGAATTAGTGTCACAACTGCCGTAGGGCTATAGACATTGTCCATTTTAAATGGTATCACACTTTGGCAAATTATTAGGTTTATTTTTCAAATTTTATTACTATGTTTAACTAAATAAAATTATGGGTATGTATATGCATCAAAGCTTTTTAAGTTTATATGATAAAAGAAAAAATGCATCGTGGTACCGTCCGATTTTTCACTTGCTTTAACAACAAATAATGATAACTATACAATTAACTTAATGGAAATACGTGAAATCTGTCAACAAAAACAAAAAATAATTTTTTGTCCTCTTGTCCTCTTCATCTAAAATTCTGTTTTGCGTTTATCTGGTCCTTGAATAAGTAAATAAGTGCACATAAATATACAAAAAAGCAAATGCTCTTTTTTTGCAAAATTTAGCATTTAAAAGTGTTATTTAAATTCAATCACGTTTTATCCAATTCGCCCAAAAAAAATTGCAGCTTGGAAACGTTCCATTAGGTTATATACAACATAACATCAATATTTAACTTTCCGTACAAACGCAAAAAACTATTTGAAATACCAGCTTTGCTGACATTTTGTTGGTGTGCTTTTTTGCACCTAGTTTCCCATTGTAACTGCTTTGTGCAGGAACTGAAAACCTAATATATGTGATGTGCACGAGACGCCATTTTTGTAACATATAACAATAATTCATGTGCGTGTACTTGAGATAAATAACTATTTATTTAACAATATAGTTTAAGATGTTAAAAATATCTTATCACAAATTCAGGCGAATGTATAACGAATAATAGCTATCTTATTGGCTGGTTTTCAAGACTCAAGCTGGACCGAGACGCGTCAACTGATACTTCTACTTCTGTTCTATTTTAGAGCCAAACCGCTTACAGTCTTTTAAAATGGCTTTGCAGACCTCAAGTCATTGGATAGACATATTGAAAAATCGAAATGAAAACAATAGTCAACACAAAGCATTCTCATATGTATATAATATTTATATAATATCGAAATAATTATATTATTGGTCCTAACAAGTTTTCTGTAACAAGAGCAGTTACGTTGAATGTTATGAGACCCTTTAATTTAATTCAATATTAGCAAAATCGAAACGCTTCCTCCACTGTTAGCCTATTTATTCCTTGCACCGTTTTCTGTACAAGGATATATTAAGTTCAAGAAATTCCAAAATAGCTTAAGAGAGAATGTTTTTCCATTATAACAGCGTATTGATTATTGCTTTCTAAACCGACCTAACTTTATCTACTCGTTGATATATTTCGGACGATAAGTTCCCATTTAAAAAAACTTGCTATATGAAAACAAATGCGATTTTTAACATTTCTCTTTAAAACTCGGGGAAAGTAAGTGCTTAGCATATTAACAGAAAGTACACAACTTGGTGGGGATAGGCCCAAGTTGGACCATCTTACAAAAAATAATGTTTTACATTGCGACCAAATCGCAGTTTTGTATTATAAAAGACTTATACAATTCTAAATTTGACAGTTATGATCTGTTTCCCGAAACCGTGACCCATTAATAATTTTCTCATGGAAAACAAAGCTTTTTATAACGAAATTTCTTTCCGAAAAAATTAAATGTGCTAAGCTGGAATCATAGACAACGTTTAGGGGCTTCTCGCAAATTTTGCGTAAGATTCACCAATGTACGGCGAAAAAGCTTTCCTTTCCCATAAGTAATGAGGAACAAAGATGCAAAGTGCATAGTTTTGACTATCAAGTCAAGTGTACCAAAATTTGGACAGCTTAAGGCCTGGGTTAAACTCCTCCCTCATATAAACGTCTTAAAATGACAAAAAACGTACATTTTTGGAGTCAAAAATTGGCGCCCAGTCGTCTGCTAAGCAAAATGGTTTAGGTTCTTAAGTAGTCAACATCGTCCTTCTGTTACTTTTCCACTTATGATATATAAATAGCTGGTTGCTATACTTTCTTTGACAATATGTACGAGTTCTGCGTTAGAAAAGTATACCTTCTATTTTAAAACTCTACCCATCAAATAAATAGATTATGGTCAAATGTCGACTTCTCATCTCAATTTCTGCATCCGTGAGGAAAATCTAAAAAAACGAACAGACCAGAGATCATTAAATCTTATCTAGAATGCAAAATGTTTAAATAAAATAAGTAAACACAATATAATTGGCCATGACCGACCACGAAATACGGTTTTGGTTAAAAATCCTCTGGATGCTGCGTACATCTCCACAACATTGGACCACTTGAGGGACTCTGTACAACTGTCTACAGATAGAATGGCGAGCCCACTTTACCTCGTCCCCTGGTGGTAAAAATAGCAAACTTCCAATTCTTATAAGTTGGATGCATGTTACTTTGTCGCTTGCATACGTAATTCCGTTGAAAATCGAGGCTAAAATTTATAAGTCATTGAAAAAGCGTCACTCTTCTGATATTTGAATTTTAAGACCAGAGATATAATTTGCTGTATTTCGTATAGCTAAAGGACTCCAACGCTCCAGAATTTGAAAATAGTGACTACTGATGTAGCAAGCGGGCATGTGGCAAACATAACCGCGTCAACCTTAACCCTGTCATTACTGGATCAACTAAACATTTTAGCAAAATCTGTACCATGTCAATTGAGTGTACATAAAAGTTAAAAATTGATAGGATAATGGAAATACCCGCTATCGAGAAAACTGCAGAATTGATAACAAGCAGAAATACGCGTCTGAAGCTTTTATTATATATAGTTAAGTTTATAGGATGACTTAAACGTGTTCGTCAGCCGATCACTTTTTAGAATTCCTTGTGCGTGATTCATCTTAAGCACTGTGTTACGGGGTTTAGCAGAGTTCGATGTGCGATGTTAAGTCGTAAGAAAGTTTACATAAAAATTATTTTATATATTTGCTTCTCGTGGAGTATATTCAGAATTTGCGTCAAAGACAGTGTAATACAGTTAACATTTCAATAACTTTATAATCTACGTAATACGTAATCTTGGCAACTGCTTTCTTTTGCTATACATTCAATGATTCAATGATAACATTAAACACGTTTAGCGCACGGTTCGCATGTTCAATTCTTGGCTAAAACTTGGAACCTGTTATTGTCAACAAATTATAATAATATAATTATATATACCCATAAGTTAAAAAACATACATATTTTATAATATCATTTTAAGGCAAGTCGAAATTTAATCGTTTCAATCTTGAAAAGCACTCAATTCACCTGTTTATGAGGTCATTACGACAACGCAGTACCAAACAAAACTTATTCCATTAATTATGTTTTTATTTCATTATTAGGTTAAATAAATACTTACCTCCGACATTTCTCTTAATGAATATAAATGAATTGCGAAAACACATGCACCTACCAAATGTTTTGATGTTATTATACAGAAATTACAGACTTTCAATTAATTTTCTGCTTCGACACTAAAATGTTGCTTCTTTTTTTCTATCGATTTTTTTTCAGCTTTTAACAAAAGCGGTAAATTATTTTATAAATATATGTGAATTTAAGCTGATAACTGTGAGATCATGTTTTCCTGTTATGGTTACTTATCTCATATCGTTCGAGAAAGTAATATTCAAAATATTTTTTTTATTTTGATATTTTTTAAGTTTACTTTTTAATTTTTTATTTTGTAAACTTTTAAGCAACAGAGAAACAGAAGTTTGTAGAACGTCGCTAAAAGAGAAAGTTTTCTCTATAATAAAATAAAAATTTTGTAAAGAAATTCGAAAAGGAACGTTTTGCTTAAACTCCGTTCACAGAAACAAGCAATCGCGTATAAAGTGTAAAATTGATTTAAAGTGGCAGCTTATTTTCTCCTTCTTGCAATGCAGAAGGAATACGACTTACAGATTACGACTTAAGAAATAAACGGTTCTTACTCTCCACCTTCATTAGTGGCAAAGCAGACATCTGTTTTTTCCTATTATTGACGAATTTTTATGCTCAATATCGAAAAGTAGCGGTATACTAATTTTATCATATCAGAAGTTTTCAAAGCCATAGAGAGAAAGGCCATATGCAGCATAAGTTTCTTTGTTGATATTTTTACACTAGTAAAAGAACAATAACTTAATACATGAAAAGAGTGTTTAGGAGTCAATTCCGAAAATTTAGGTGGTTCTTCACACATATCCCTCATTGATTTATAAAAAACTGATGTCGATTAAAAAATCTGTTGAAGACACTTTTAACTCGTAAATGAGGGTCGAGTTTAAGCAGAAAAAAAAAAAAAATTGATTATAATATATGATTTTTTTACTTATTTTGACGGTGGCCGAAATTGTGTTAGCTTATATTCGAGATAAGTAATCTTGTGTAAAATGATGATGATTTTTCTTTTCCTTATAAATTTTAGAATATTATCGGTATATGCTGTTAGGCACTAGATGTACACAAGTAAACACGAACGAATTGCTCGTGAAAAATTTTTGCCACCAACCATCTAAAACCAAGCCAAGCAAAGTGTTTTAATTAATTTTAATTAACGTAGGATTGTCAGGTGATCAATTAAAACCATTATCCGTACCGCTTTCACAAGATCTTGATGAATATTTACTACGCACTATTAGAAGAATAGTCGCAGTTTTACTCGCACGAAGCCTTATCTCAGTATTAACTTTAGATAGTGAATGAAAGTTTTACTTGCGCTTAATGAAGCCGCTTTCAAACTTGCCTTGCAATCATCAGTTTAAACATGTATGACATGATTTAACCGAATATTTGCGGCCGTGCCTGTTCGAACGTACATAGGTGAGTTAACTCATAGGTTTTCCAATGTTATATAGATAAAGATAATGTTATTTCTTAGTCTCAAGTGGCTGTGCATGTATCAAATGAACCTTTCCATATTGTACTGCTATTACTGATGTGTGCCTTTTTTTGTACACATCGTAAATATATTAAACAAAAATCTCGTATAACGTACATGATAACGAAAGGATAGAAGTGTACCGATGTAGCCCACTTTTTTCAAGATTCGACTTTGATCTGCTGGGTATTCGCAATTCATTTTAAAATTACTAATATTTATATTCTTGTTATGGCCATCTCCGAAGAGTGTAACTTCCATGACTTAAAATTGTTACATTTTGCGAAGAATTTTGATTTATCATGTATGTGACACGTGAAACGAAGAAACGAACGTAAGTAACTCTATAAAGAACATGTACCTTCGATCGGTTGAAGCTTGTGAATATATTAAAGCTTGTTAATGCTTTAACCTGCTTATCCATCTATTTGGTTGCATCTGCGTTTTTTAGTACATGTGTTGTGTGTCATTGAAACTTGACATGGAATAGCACATACACATATTTTTGATTGACGATTATTTGTAGATGGAGCAATCGGTTAACTATTATTATTATTATTTTAATTTTAGACTAATGAAATGAATTCTTAGAATAAAAAAAGACATTGAGCACTAGCAACACAGGCTATCGGCTCAATTGATTAACTAACTGACATGTCCGCAATTAAACCAATACTTTGCATATTTTTATATTAATATCAGAGCGTAGGTACTAAAGATTCGTTGCAAATCAAATGTACCATTTTTACTTGTTATTTTTCTCTCTCCCTTTTACTGAGATCTATAAATACGTTTAATATACAATATGTGATGCATATTTGATAGGCCTATTTGAACGCATATTCAACTTGGAACACATTTTATTTATGCTATGGTCTAATGCCCCTGCAAATAGATATTCAGAAGTAATTAAGCCGTAAAATTTTATTACGGTGCGATACGGTAAACCGTCAACCAAGCATTGAATTAACAAGCAGTCGCAGTTTTCAAAGATGCATGTGCTGTTTGCTATTAGGTTTTTTTTTCCTTTTTAATTGACTGCTCGGTGAAGAGCTTTAAAGGCAAGTTAGGGTCGTAATAGATAATAAATGTTTGAGGAGAGTTTCAAGTTAGCCTTTTCGTTATATTGGCTATTTATTGAAAGCAACGTTTTCGATGTGTTTCATCTCGACCACGAGGGAGGACAGATAATTTTTGGATTTTTCTAAGATTTGCATAGTTAAGCCCTTTAGAAAGAATTATATCATGAATCAAATTGGCACAGCCATGTCGGCCCGGCGCTTTACGATCGTAACAAACTTGGTGCCACATACCTATTTTTCACTTGTTGTTAAGACGAATTCAGATTTGACAAAAATGCGAGAGTTTTTACAATTTTCTCCATCAATTTTCGTCTCAAACTTTAAACTACTTTCGGTTGCGATTGCAAATCACCTAGCAACTTCTCACGTAACGCCTTCATCGTGTATAGATAAAAGGCAAGACTCATGGTCCAATACTTCAATTTATTTGATAGCTTTTCCTGTATAGCCCACAATGTAGTGGTGAGATATAAGAATATCGGTGCAAGCTGAACGTCATTTCTAAGTATTTGAAATATTTTTAAGATGGGTGACATTCGAAACACATAATTTTTTTAAAGTCTACAGAAGTTTTCCTTTAGCATAAGATACACGTGATATGTTCTTGCATTCGTAGAGTAATAAAGGCTTTCCTAAATCTAAAATACTTAACGAAATATGCTCAAGCCTCATAGAAACTCTTTAAGATTCAAATATTTCCGAACAGCATCAACCTGTTTCATACTAAATTTATAGTTGAGAGTTTTGTATACCATAAGAAAGTCAAAGGTTTTCAATATTGCGAAAGAGCGTAGACTCTTCGAAAGCCATTGTATTTGAAGAGGAATACTACAAGCGGAATTTTTAGCCAAAATATATACATAATAAAAAAGCTGAATTAAATTAAAAAGATTATCAAACTTTCCATAAAACATATTTTACAAACTTCAACTTTTTACGTACAGTCGCAAGTTATATTTACTGAAAATTTTTATTTTACTGTAGATGTGCTGTAAGCCGGGCATAGCTTGTTTTTTGTCACAGCATTGAAAAAGCAATTCGAAATTTCGACATGTCAATAACCTCGAATAATAAACCAAAATAAATGCAAGAAAAGCAAATATGAAATAAGCTATCAAAGAAGAAACACGCAGTGAACATCAGCCGATTGATGAATGCACGAGTATCTCTATTGACTGCGTATTTAAATATGCCATCAAAGTATTGTGTGTGTTTACTGCTCTACACTGAGAGCCTAATAGAGGCATAACTGTTATGATTTCATATGTTCATAAAGTTCATTGACAGCACCAAATGACATTTTTATTGATAATATAGAAGTAATTAGAGATTTTTACGAATCCTCAACGAAGAGAGCGCAGATATTTAACGAAACTACCTCAACCTGGAGGCGTCGATTACTTTCGATTTCATTTTCAAAATCAGCTGAGCGAACGCGCAACTTAACGAAATTGCTTTATTATTCAGTTGAGTGTCAATAATAATGATCTTCTCCAAGCACTTTCGCTTTCAAAACGATCAATAAGTTGCGTTCAGTTGGTAACAGGCTTACAGGGTTTTCAGTAAAGGTATTTTTGAAGCATTTCAATGAAATGTAAAACTTTTTTCTGGTTTGTTTTGATTTTGGTTTTCCTTTTTTTTCAGATGTTATTTTTATATATTGTTTTTTGATGATGCGAACTATATAAAAATTTGTGTTCCTCTTTAACAGAAGAAAAGAAAAAAACACAATAAACTATACTACAGTAATGCGTACAGTATTATGGTGACTAAATAAAAAGAGAAAAAAAAAACGAAAATTTTATACAGCAATTAGCGTTGTGAGTTAAATCGCTACGGTCGTATGCCAGCACAGCAATAACCGGTTTTGTATGTCCACTGAGAAACGGTATGTTGGTTTCCCTAGTATAGACACAATATGAGAAAGATGTGTTTTCGTTATGAAATCTGTCTTTGATAAGAGAATAATCACACATTGATTTATTTATGTGCGCTAAGCTTTTTATTTGCTAACTGATTATGTCTGATGTTTAAAGTGACTGCTGCGTTAAATGTACACCTAATTGCATCCTCTTGTTTTTCTATCACCTTTTCTTCGACCCAAAAAAAAAAAAATTCTCAAAGAAGCTCTCGTTCGATGTTGTAAATATATTTTATTTCACTTAGAGTTTACATACATATGATCTGCGTCTCTTGAGAGCAGCCTAGATCTGTTCATTTTAAAATAGAACTATATAATACGTTTTACCGAAGGAACCGAGGTGTATCCATTTTTTTAAAACATTTGTAACCATAAAGCATATAGATACTTGATCAGCAGAAAATTCTGAATCGATTTAATCATGCTCTTCTGGCTGCGCAAAGTCCGTTGTAAACATTGTACCGGGTGGAAAAATGTCGATTTAAAATTTGGCAAAAACACTCGAAGTTCTTGCACGCTGGTTGGTATTGAAAATGGGCGAAAAGTATCGTCTACGCGAAGCTATTTGCCAGCGTTATTTTAGTGTTTGCATTGTAATAATGTGTACACACAGACAGACGAACAGTCGGTAAAGAATATGCTTACTTTATGAGATTTCTGAAACTTGCTTCTGTGCCTTAGAAACTATACTATCGAATACCGTAGCCATTTTTTCTATTTTAGTAGGTGGTATGTTGTCGCTACAAGAATATAGGCTCAAATGTTTACGGGTTTATCTGCTACAGTGGGTTAGAGTACTGAGCAACAAGCCTGGGATTCTTAGTTTTCTTGGGAATTTTGGCGTTAGGTCGTCCAACCGTTAGATCGTTTTCAATCCCAATCTGCGTATAAAAATTTGTAATGTTTTTACAATTTCTGAAGCCGGTAGGTGTATTTTTGCAGCCTGGAGAATATATAGAACAAGCACGGGTGTTCCGGA